GGGGAACGGAATGACACAAACAAGGTGCGACATTTAAAAATCAGGTTCAGATTTTTTTCAGTCCCATTGAAGCACCTTTGCTAAAAGACTGTCTCTTTTCTCAGGGGACAGAAATACAGCACCTTGGGAGAGCCACCCCCACACAAACCAACGCGTCCTTGGCCGCCTGAACACAGCCAGATAAGCACACACATATTGGAGCTCCCTCACAGAAAGATCTGGAGGAATTTTTTTACTTCCAGGCTATCTGGTAGGGATATTCTTAATTGTTTATCCAGGCTTCCATATTAAGACTCTGATATCGGAGTTGGACAGCAAGAATATTTAAACTGATGAAAATAAAGACAGATCTACCCGATTCTTCTAGAGTGGTTTCAGAACATCTTATCTGGTCTACACATAATGCATAAAACAGGCACATACTTGTTAAGTGTCGGTGTCTGTGAATACCAATAGCATCAGAGATGATGGGAAGTACTTAAGCAGTATGCCTGGCCAAGGGAAGAGAGCATTCCAAAAAAAATTACTTCCAAGAATAGGGAATAACATGAATATTTCAGAGAATGGATGTGGAAGTGGATTCTAGCAGTTTTCTAAGAGTTTCACTGTTATCAGAAAGAGCTTTTTGCCAACAAGTGAAATGAGAGTATTTTGATGCCACTTTTGTTCTTTGCCATGACACAGAGACAGAATAGATTGATTTTTTTACCTCTAACAATGTTTGATGGCCTGAAAATGGTTAATTAATGATACTAAAATCTGTATTTAAAATGTAATTCAGTTCTGTAATTATATTTCTTATGCATGGAGACAGAAATAAACTAGAGGAAGAACCTATTAGTCCTTTTGCATGTATAATTGAACATGTTTGATATTACTAGGTAACCTTTGTAAGTAACTGGCTTTGAGTTTATGCACAGAGGTGAACACTTTGAATACATAAATAACAATAAGAGCAGATAGGTTTTTGATTTTGTATTCTGTTCTTTTCTTGTTTGTGTCTGTTAGATGCAGTCAGACATCCCTGGCTTTATTTGGCCATCCATAGAAACATCTGAAAGATCTGACTTTTGCATCATTTGGGTGCAGTAATGAATAAGAACTGACATCAAATATCAATATTATTGGCCCAGCTAAATGGTAGCTGACATCCAACTGGACTGCTGAAGAGGTAAACAAAATTCAAATTTTGTTTTTGTTTAAAAACTGTCTGACATTATTTGTCCTTCAGTAAATCAATGGAAGAATGACCTAAATGCTGTTTGCATTTTGGCTTGCGGAGGTAATATCGGGCAGTTGGTATCAAGCATGTTTTTTATAGTCTTTTACGTTTTCCTAATATAAACTGTAATTCCACAAAGACTTTTTTTTTTTTAAGGAAACTTGGTAGCCTCTGTAATGATTTCTTAACCTGTAGACATCATACAAACACAACATGGCAGATACAGACAAACACAGGTGAATGACAATCATACTCTTATTTGAACACAAACATATATATACATGCACATAAGGGAGCAAATTTTGTTCCACTTTAAATTCATAATGATTCAACCAAGCATCCATAGTCCATATAATCCATATACTTGATTACCATAGGTGATTTGCCAAGCTGGGAAAATGCTGTGCAAAGTATGCACAAAACTAATTTCAAATGCTATTTAGGCCATACTTAGATTTTATATTACACACCAACATTCAAGAAGAGATCACCATTCCTTGTATGAATTCTACCGTATGAAATGGCATTGTTTTCCCCTAGCTCTTGATCAAAAATATGTATTAATGTAAAAATGTTAGTGGTTTGATTTTTCATCTTCGCATGAATTATGCAAATGCGTAATAGCCTCTCCATAATTATCCACAAGACACAAGGAGAGGTCCAGGGCTGACTGGGACTTCCCTGCCTTAATGTCCAGATGTAGGCAATTTGGGGCTCCCTCCACCACCTTTTGCCCACCATGAGCCTACATTTGCGAAGTTGTATGGAATCCAACAATTAAGCGGGGTCACCTCAAATCCCAGTAACATTCAAAAACTGTGGAATTTACTTTGCCTCTTAGGTGCAGTCTCACTTGGGTTTCCCCAGAGCGGGTCTTTGCTTTCCCACGTAAGGTATGTCCACAGGTATCTTTTACTGCACTCAGAGCCTTTGAAGTGAACTGGAGCACACACAGTAGCCTCTAAAAAAACACCCTTACAAGCACATACACATGCTTCTACTCAAAGGCTTATCTCTCAGTGGAAAAGAAACATCTGAAACATTTTTCTCTACAAAGTTAGTTGTGTTACAGGGACGTGGGAGTAAAAGGGGCAGTAACATTAACTTTTAGGAGGAAAGATGCATTTTTCTACGTCTTCAATTCAAAAGCAGCTATATGGATTTTGCTCAAATTTTCTCCATCATTCCACAGACAGAGAACCAACTTGGAAAACCACAGAATTTATACACTGCTGAAAGCGTTATCTTTTAAGTCCTGACATAACCACAACTACAGAAGTTAGAGCAGAGTATCTATCAGGGCAATGTGACTACCTGCCAGATTCTCCAGAGAGCTCGTGTCCCAGCAAGGCGGCCTCCAACAAATGGCCACGTTTCAGGTGCCAAACTGGCAGTTATGTTCTGTAGAAAAATTGCTAATTATGGACTCTGAACACTATTAAGAGTTCTGGCTTTAAACCGGCCCACTTAACAAAAAACTATTAACTACAGTTTCAGAAGCATGGTATAGTAAATAACTCAGATTTAATCAGTTTCACAGAGTTTAATGAGGATTTATTCAATCTGTATTAATGTATTTTTTTTCTTCCTTCTTCCTCATACAATACTTTTCCCCTAAAACAGCCGTTAATTTTTAGACACACTGCCTGGATGGCTCTCTGATCTAGCAGAAAATCTGTTCTGTATTTTCGTTACAGGACATTGTGTAATTAGAATTTCATGTTCTTTCAAAACTCCTTTGAGCACCAAGCAGCCTGAGACATGACTATCACAGGCCCACAGAAGTGACTTAGGAGTCTACTTAAACTGACCTATATCCTAAGCAGAAAAAGGAGTGGATCTCTTGGGATCTTTCACCATTACAGCACTGCACTCACAGAGTCCAACCCTATAGACAAGACTTCGGACAAAGCATGAGAACTGCAGACCCATGACATTAGGATAGGAAAAAAAATATTAAAAAAAAAAAACAATCCAGGTAGGAGTCTGTCAGCAATCAGCCTTCTGTTTGGCCATTTCAGACTTAAGAAACCAGACTTTTCCAACAAATCTTTGCCTCGCTGCAAAGCTTCTTTGGCCAGGTCCAACCATTAAGCTTTCTGTTGGCCACTCTGGAAGTGATGTTGTGCACCTTTGTCCAAACAGTCCAAGATCAATCTCCAAAATCTTTTGCATGAAAGCATTGTTGAAAATATTAATGTGTCTATAAAAACCTTTTTTCCTCATAAAACAAAACAAAAAAGTCACTTAAAACACCTTAATCAGCTTGCTTAGGGTGGAATATTTTAGTTTCTTAGTGGGCAAGCAGTAAAGGGTAAGAAAACAGTTCACTGGTGCTGTAGTTGGTTGAAATACAGCCCTTGCTTTGCCAGCCAACCAATGTGACAACTGTAACTTGTACAGCTCAGGACTAACTACTAAGTGTTTTCAGCAGTTTTCCAGTACATACAGAGTTAATTTATATAACTGCAATTACAGCTTCTGAAATTATATTCCTCACTCAGTTTAATCAATGCTGCACTAGATGTTTCCATTTTTACTAATTCAATCATTGAGAATGTCAACCAATGATTTTAGTCTAGAGTTTAATGCCAACTATAATATTCTTTATCAAAATAACCTGCTTATCTGGAATATTATCAGCACACAGTCTTTAAGCTTCCTGTTAATCATTATAGGTCACATTAGAGCATGATGCTTTTTGCAAATACTCGCGTTAAAGACAGTGCTGTAGTATTGCTATAGTATTTCCCTCACAATTCTTGCTACTGTTAAATATTCTGTGTTCCACACCACCATGTTTCAAAATACTGAGAGGCAGGTTGTGCCTGTCAAATAGATAGATACACGCATGCGGCCAAGAAAGAATTAAGATGCCTTGGGAATTCCTATTCCCCTCCTTGACATAAGCTTATCCCACACTTCCTGCTACGTCAACCCCTAGGGTTTGCCCTATAGGCACATAGGGTTGACATAAGCAGTTGGGAAAGCAGTAGCTGATACTGAACACGAGGAGAATATTCAGGATCTCCTATAGTAAAAACTAGCACCTTGCTCTGCTTGTAATAAAAGTGGCAGTGAGAGCACAGGGAGCAGGAACACCGTTGAGATATTTTCCAGGAAAGATGGTCCCTGAGAGAAAAGAGTGCAAGTGGTAGCAGAAACCAGCACATGCCTCACAACTTCCACACCAGTTTTAAAGTGCGGTGTGGCCAGGAGAGCTAGAGGAACCATACATCATAAATGTTTTGATCATTTCAGAATATTTCACATCACCTCAAAAAAACGTTTTGGAAAAATTACTTCCCTTCCAAAGTTAACAGGCATTCAGATCACAGTCTGTCACCAATCCCAACCAAAACGATGCATTTTAGACAACGACTATAAAATTAACCATCCAGGAAAAAAACTAACAGCGAACTTCATTTAAGTAAAGTAACTAAATGATCATGACAAAGGAGAATAGCTTAGATATCATGCACTGATCAAAGGAGAAAGGAGGTAGGCGCAAGGAAGGGGCAGCTTTATTGTCACAGTCTCTGGGACTCGACTCTGGCTGGCAGGTGTGTGCCACACTGAACTGCTCTAGAAGTCATTACTAACACTGAATTCAGTTGCAGAGGTATCTATTTCACCAAAGTGCATGATACTATTTACCAGAACAAGGAACATGACGATTAAAAAAAAAAAAAAAAAAAAAAAAAAAAAAAAAAAAAAAAAAAAAAAAAAAAAAAAAAAAAAAAAAAAAAAAAAAAGAAAATTCGTACGGAGAACTTACCTTCATGTTGGATGTAGCATGATTACAGGAATGCAGGTGACCATAGAACGTGTAAACACGGAGACCCTAGGAATTCAACATAAAAAGAAAGCAATTAAATAAGTTATAGTGATAGAAATTATTCCATACCCTTGTAAATAGAAATAAATAGAAAGACCTTGATTTTATGGCTGTGTGCAAACCAAGGCACTTTGTGTGCTAAAAAACAGCTCCTGGTTGCTAGAAGAAGAACACATTTCTCACAAATACTAAGGATATATATCCTTACTTCACATAATAGCTAGCAGAAAAGGCACGTTCAAATACGACAAAAAAGCCGTCTCCCTTGACAGAGGGTTTGAATTAGAAGGTGTAATCACTGCTTCCAAAAGACTGAGCTCTTGCTCTTAGGCAGTGATTCAGCACGTCTCTCCATATTCCACACACACCATTAAAGTCTTCCTTAAGGAATCACAAGCACAAAATCAAAATTAATTATCTTTTGTCATCTTCCACATTAGGCCGTAAGTGACCTACATAGTGCAGTAACATATGTCAGATGTCATCACTGATACCTGACTTGTTCTCCCAGTGCAGGAGACATCCAACCACAGTATCTCCTGCTAAAAAAACTGAAGTCCTCAAGATGGGAAGACAGAGGTATTAAAAATAGATGCACTTCTCTGCTTTCATAAAAATCACTGCTTTCACGGGTAACATTAACAAAAACAGTTTCTATTAAAAGTGAAACCCAGCTTTGAACAGTGTAGTCATATCCTGAAGAACAAGTTTTCACTCTAAGAAAACATTAATAATAAATGACAATAAATGACACTGGAATCAAAAGACAACTTGTTGCATTCTTCTGGAGAGAAGAAAAACCCCAAACCAAGATCTGAAATTCCTCTACTCATCCTAGTAGTCCTTCATTGTACTTATTCCAGCTTGAATCAGTCTCTCGGGAGCAGGGGTAACATAGGTTAATCATACCTCTGTCATGCTTTTAGAGTTTATACCATCAGCTTAATTCCATTTTTATTTTCCCAATCTGGGGAAAAAAAAAATCACCGCTCCTCTGACGTAAGATATTTGACTTCTCTTTTTCACTGACAAAACATCCTACATTTTTCTCATCAGCATGCTTTATCATGAAGAATGCATGCTTTATCATGAGAATATCAGTATATTCTCACTGTTTGCAACAAGTCCTTTCAAGAAAGTAGTTAATGAGGTTTGACCACAAAGTAGTTCTGGAGGGACACTACTTGATAGTACCCTGTAGTTCATATTACATCTCTGAACCATTTAGGAGAACTCAGTCCAACAAAACAGCAGTTAAAGGGGATTAGATTGCTCTTGTAAATATCTCGGGGGTTAAGAGCAAAGAGGGAAAAGAGCTATTGAAGCTGAAGAGCAGTGTTGATGCAGGAACATATGGGTATTCATTATCTGCAGATAAATTTCAGTTGGAAATTAGAAGACAGTTCTCAAACAGTGAGATATGAAAACTCGCTCCAAGTAGCGGGGATAAAAAATTCTCATTAATTTTAAGAAGCTGCTTGAGAAGTCTGAAAATAAGTGACCTCCTCCTGCATGTGATCTTTTGCCTGAACTTGGAGACCAAGGAGACTCTTTCCAGTCTTGTTCATATGGCACTAGAATACAAATTTCTGATGAAGTCCAGCATTTAATGCTTCGCGGAATTCCTTTTGTTTAAAAAATGTCACCAAAAAAAGGCAGCAGGCTACTCTGGCAAGTGCCATTTTGTATCTTATTGTATTTTTCATTTACCTTTCTGTCTGGAAGTAGTCTCTGCTTCAAGGCTGCATATGCTATTGAGATCAAACTAGGAAATTAGTATTATTCCCATGGAAGGATTGCAAGAAAACATATCAAGAAAAAAAAGGCTCTGGGCTATTAGAAGCAATCCACTATCTCTAAAGATCAAGCACGCCATCCACTTTAAGCATAAAAACGCTGCCAGAGCACAGTTCTTGAGTCCTCCACAGTTTTCAACAGACTCAGAGAGGGAAAAAGTGCTGAAAAACCCCCACCCAAAAAACTTGTATATTTACATGATTCCTAAATAATAAAATATGAACCAATAAATCCTGATGAAAAGAAAATTTAAGTAATTATTATCCAATTACGAATTCACTGTTGGAATAGCAATGTGATTACACAAAATTCCCATGATATTGACAGACAAATTAAACCTGATAAAGATGACATAATAGGAGACAAAGATAACCAAACACATATGAGCAGCCTAGCAAGAAAAAATTTCAAGGACATAAAATCTACCTTGTGTCCTAGCAGCAGTATCAATTGTACCCAGACCATGGTAACAACCCAAATGTTGGTACATGTTTTGCATGCAAAAAATAGCCCTTGTAAAATAACTGCTGTTGCTCAGCAGGGCACAGTATTTACCCTCAGACACTCTCGAATACCAATATATACACAGTAACCTTTCCACAAATGCAGAAAAAGCATGTTATCACAAACCAAAAAAAAAAAACAAACCACAGATGCCATGCCACAAAATGGATGTGAACTTTCTGATTTCCCTTCCATAAGTCAGTTCAGTATAAACCATCTGAAAAAGATTTTAATAATAGTAATAATAATAATAAAAGCTAGACAAAGGCAATGGTTCTGTAAAGTGTTTCTCAATACTATTGCTGAAACTTAATTTCCAAAGTGCCACTTTATTTTTATTCAATGCACAGCTGGTGTTTCCTTTACCAACACCAGGAAATCTGAGTTTTGCAGACATAGATGCCATAAAAATAAAACTGGAAAGCTTACTATTTAGCTGTAATGTTCCAGCAAAATCAAACAGTAATAAATATTCTCTGGATCAGAGCGCATGTTAAGATAGCACTGACCTTTCAGCATCAAGAGCTCAGCAGTAAGTTAATGATACCCCTTTTGCACATGCATTCTGCTTTTCTGTCTTTAATTATAAAATAATCTACTATAACACCACCAGGACCCCTGCTTCATTCAATGTGGAACTGAACCAGGTGTGAACAGGGTGTCCAAGCCCCAGGCTTAATCTCCCTTCGAGCAAAGTCTGGAGCACCTCTTCTTCAGAGGAATTTCACTGGAGTGCCTTGCAAATTGGTCCTTGGCTTACTAACAGCTTCTTGTCATCCAGGAACCAGCTGTATGCTCCTGCCATTTAACTGAATTTCTTTAAGGTTCAAGATGAGCAGGGGCAAACAGCTGAGACTTGTATCACAAGGAAAAGAGCAGAGGAAAAAGGAGGAGCTTGTCTTAATGTTAGGGGAGTTGTCAGTTAGGGAAAATTACGCTCCTTTGCTGCTACTTTCTAGGTCTCACTGACCATTACCCCACTGACAGAGATAACGTTATCACAAATCAAGAGTAGGAGAAACAAAATATCAGAGCAGAACTCTGCATCTGTAAAAAGGCCCATTTTTTCCACATTTAACCCATGAGGTCTATCCAGTCTCTTTGCATATGACACCCTAGAAGCATAAAGGGCAGTAAATTATGGAGTAAATTATTATTGTTAACTGAGTCATCAAGTCTTGATTGAAATATTAATGGAGCAAATGTCAGTTCTAGTCACTCCTTGAGCTACTGCCCAATTACATTAATAACCATACATTCTTCTTTTGCAGAAAATACACAGATAATAGCAACGTTCAAAGAAAACAAAATATGAAGTGTTCTGCATTGTTGTTTTTTTTTTTTTTAAATGATTATTCACACATGCACACACACATATAATTTTCCATTTTGAAACCCAGAAATTAACATTAGAATCAGTGGTTAGAAACACCATGGCATTATGTTATGGAGCCTATCAACCCCTCAGCTTCCACTGAGTACAGACATTAATTGCCTGCCTTGGACTGGAGCTATCTAAAAGACTTCAGCTAGAGAAAACATTTCTTTTTTTAAAATGCAATCCAGTACTGTAGAAAAGCAGCCTGACCTTTGCAGCTATGGATCTGTGAACAGTAATCCTGCTGCAAAAGTAGTTAAACAAGGAACCTAAATTTAAATGATTTTTTGTTCTTACTTTCACAGGATAAAAGCCCAAGATATCAGAATCAATAGTGAAATTCTGCTGTACATCCTCCCTATTGTGTCCATATAGATATACAAATACCAGGGCAAGATAAGACAGGCTGAAGACAATCATAATTAATATACTACAGCTTCTTTGCATCTGTAGAATTAAGTTCAACCATTAACTATGTAACACAGCAGCTGAATCTTCCTATACTTATTTCAATTACCAGTTTAGCAGCAACAACAAAAAATCCCCAAACCTAACAAGCACCTCTGGAGAAAACACACAGCCAAAAACTGTTGAGCATTGTTTTAAAACTACTCATGTTTTTTAAACTCTGCTGTTTTGATTATTTTTTCTGGATTTTGAATGCCCTGCTATACATGAAAGCCTGACATGAACAAACTACTTTGACAAGTTCAAAAATCAAGATAACATATCCATTAGATCAAGCTGAGTGTAATGTACTAGGTGCGATACGTAATTATCTTTATTAGTTCAACATGATATGAGCTTGTAGATAACAACATCTGAGTATGAGATTTATCTAAACAGTGTTCAGATAAGAGATGTATTTGAAACTTCTTGGTTCATTTAGAAATTAACTCAAAGAAATATGTTCATTCAAAAGGACTGAACTAAGAGAAGTGTTCAAACCATGAAGCACTCAACAGTGGAGCCATTCACCTCATTCTCTTTATTAAAAACCAACAAAACCTCCCAACAGTTTTTCATGAAAGGTTTAATTTTATTCAGGGGAAAAAAAAACAGTGTCTTGAATGAAACTTCTGATCTTATATAGGTAAATTTTTTCCAGAAAGCCAAATAATCTAATGCTTAGGAAGCTCACTTCACCAGACTTGAACTTTTCCTAAAACAAGGGTCATGTTAAATGTATTGTGATTACTGGCTATTGACTCCCTAGGGAAGGTCGAACCGTTCTCTCAATCTCCCTTGCTGAATAGGGCCAAAGGCTTCCCTTTCTACAACAAAGTGCAAAATTAAAAGCGTGACTCTTATTCAACTCCTTGCCTTA